CAGTAAAATCAGTAGCCAAGCAACAGGGTGTATTGATGACCAGCAAAGACGTGGGTGAACGTTAAGTATCTGGCCAATATAGACGTCAGAATGAAGCTTGGGCAACTTTTAAGATGTTAATAAATGACTATGCTCTTACAAGCTTAAACAAAATTTGTCCTTGCAGATCAAGAAAGCTATGTTGGCCAGCTGTACCAAATCCAAAATATAGCGCTGCTCTGCTGAGTATGGAGAGAGCCACACCAGTGGTATGCAAATACTGTTTTAAAGCATTACATTACCATTTATTACTACCTACTTCTCTGTATAGCGGGAAGGTAAACGGCGTTTCCTTGTGCGGCTCTGGGTTGCCAGAGTAGCTTCGTCACGCTGGCCACGTGACCCGGAAGTGTCTGCGGACAGCGCTGGCTCCCGGCCTCTAGAGTGAGACGCGCACAACCCTAGAGTCTGTCAAGACTGGCCCATACAGGCAGGGGTACCTTTACCTTACCTTTACTTCTCTGTATATGTTTCTGTTATAGGTAAGGTAAAAAGGTAAGAAGAAAAAGAAAAAAGAGGTTGCTATTTGGTTGTTAGCCACCCTGAGCCCGGTCTTGGCTGGGGAGGGCAGGGTATAAATAAAAATTTATTATTATTGTTGTTGTTGTTGTTAAAACCAGAATTATAATGCAATCAAACATCAGACAAGTGCAACATCATCAGGACCCATCTGCTTTTAGAGATAGCATGTCTCTAAACACTAGTTGCTAGGGATCTCTGGCCACTGAATTGGCTTCCTATAGGGACCTGGTTGGGCACCATGAGAGCAGAATGCTTGACTAGATAGGCCTTTCATCCAGCAGGGCTTTTATTGTGTTTTTATTTCTGGATCATAAATTTGATTTTCCCATGCAGTCACCTACAGGAGTACACACACAGAAAGGCTATAATAAATGCAGGAAAATACCAGCATGCTGGGGTCATTTTCACATAAGGGTTGATTCCCAACCCATGCGCCATTGCCCTGAAGTAATTATAGCTGAACTATTCATTTGCAGCTTTTTATCTGCTGAGTTTATTTAATCGGTATATAAAAGCCTACATTTTTTAAAAAGAAAAATGGTATATGTTGTCTATTGCACTTTGACATCTGATTTTATGCAAACAAAGCAAGTTAAAAAGGTTCTAGCCAGCCCTGCTGTACTGTTTTTAATACTTGATTGGGAGCTGCCCAGAGTGGCTGGGGACACTCAGCCAGATGGGCGGGGTATAAATTATTATTATTATTATTATTATTATTATTATTATTAGCCAACAAGAAAGGGAAGGTGAAACCTAGGCTGCATTGAAGGGGACAATGAAAGATTACTTCAGTTTGCTTAATATAGTACAGTATATAGGGAGTGAATGAGCTCACCTAGTGCCTACTGGAAAATTCTGTTATGTATGGGTGAATGGTATAACCCAGGGGTCAGCAAACCTTTTCAGCAGGGGGCCGGTCCACTGTCCCTCAGAACATGTGGGGGGGGGCAGACTATATTTTGGGGGGGGGAGAATGAATGAATTCCTATGCCCCACAAATAACTCAGAGATGCATTTTAAATAAACGCACACATTCTACTCATGTAAAAACACGCTGATTCCCGGACCATCCGCGGGCCGGATTTAGAAGGCGATTGTGCTGGATCCGGCCCCTGGGCCTTAGTTTGCCTACCCATGGTATAACCATATAAGAGTAATACCAGTAGGTAGTCAGGTCATTTTCATCATATGAAAATGCTTTTCATTAAATTTAACTTTGATATGAAAGAATTCATTTACCATTTAGTGCACTTTTCAATTGGGGTCATAGGAAGGAACCAAACAAAACTGTAACAAGACTATACATTGTCTTATATTTCAACTGTTTTATGTGCAGGTTCTTCTGGGACCCAATTTACAGACTCCGTCAGAAGCATATAATAAAGCCAATGAGCTTTATGTGGTAGATGATGATTCAGAGACACTGTTAAGACAAGGATCCCTTTCTCCAGGCACAGCTACAATGGTTTCCACAGACCATTCTGAAGCAGTTGCAAGGCAAATACAGGACACTACTCTGAATCCTTTGAAAATCCCTGACCAAGTCAGCAGCGGCGAGAAGGGAAAGGTTGGAGTTCACACTGATTATATTGGTGTGGCTGTCAGTCAGAGAGCCATGCAGAAGCTCTCAGCACATCTTCCCAAAGGAGCAGCCCATCTAGAGAGGACGTTGATCAACAATTCAAGAAGACAACCAGCAGCACACACTGCTCAAAATCCTCTAATGCTAAGTCAGGGGCTGCTTAGTCCAGCAACTTTGTCCTTAGAAAGAAGGTCAAAATTTGAGCAAAATCATCATGAACCACCTTGTTGAGATGAACAGCAATTAAAAGACAAATTCTGGCAGTAGGGCATGTCATTTTAGGGGTGAAACTCAATTTTTGCAAGTATATTCAGTGAGGGGTCTAAAAATATGTTATTGGCATGAGGGATTAAAATCTGCTATTAGTTTTGTGATTGGACGTTTAGGTAAGTCTACAAAGTTTGCAGTCTTGATTTTTATGCAATTTTGCACAATGTTTCACACACACACACACACACACACACACACATAAGACAAGTTTAAAATTATTGGAAATTCCACAAAAAACGTAAAATGTCAATATTTTACTGTAGTTACTTACCAAGCAAAACTACATTATATCAGTTTAACCAAAATATATTTTGAATTCCCAAGTCATGTTGCAACTTTTCAGCACCCTTCATTTTTTGGAATTTGAAAGTTGGAAAATTCAACATGCCCTATTCTAGGAATCCCTCCAATATTTCTAAAAACAGGTGGCACATAACACTGTTGCATTAAATCCTTTGGGATGTATCTTATGATTACAAATCAGAACATAACTTCTGTTCATACAGATTAATATTTTTTGGGGAGGTGCAAGTGCTCCGAAAGGGTCCTAGAGCCTTCCCATTTCCTTCTAAAACTGTGCGCTAACTAGGCTTTGGGAAGGAAGTGGGAGAACTCTAGGGCCCTGTCTAAGCCCTCGTGCCTCTTCCTTTGGGAGAATTATGGTTGGATGGGCTCACTTTTTTTGAGCCACACACAAAGGTACCAAGTGCTTTGCTCTATGTAATGTCAAGCAGCCTGTTGTAGTCTCGTTGCTGAGCAACAACATGCAGGGCTCAGTGGAGTGAGAGGCCAGCCAACCAGAAGAGTCTCTGAGGTGTACTTGCCTAGAGGCAGTCAGCATCCGGTCAGGTCCAGTCCTAGGGTTGGGTGAACAGCAATCTGTGTGGCCTGGCAGTCCAGGGTATCTGATGATCATGAGCTCAAGGGCCAAGACAAGCTGGAAGCAGCGAGGAACTACAAGCGTTGTTACCAACCTCTGTCTGCTGCTGGAAGCTGTGCTTAAGAAGCCTGAAGCCAGCTGGTTTTCATTAGTGCCTTCTCCTGTGTGTCCTTGAAGGCTGATCAGCTGCAGGTGGAGTCACTCCACCTTCTCCCCCTTCAGGCTGCTGTTCAGCAGGCAAAGCTGACTCCTGGCCTCCTCATGGTGGTAATTTACATGGATGTACATTTGCACGTACATTATTAAGTGTTCTGTCTTGTGCAATCTGTCTGGGCACTCACATTTTTTATTTGAATGTGGGCAGAAGCAGTGACTGTAAGGATTTGATTAATAAACAATAGGTAAATAAGCAGATTATGTAAGTCACGGGTGTCAAACACAAGGCCCGCGGGCCGAATCCTCGTCATGTGGCCCGTGTAGCCGCCGCCGGCCTTCACCTTTTATTCTCGCTTCTTTTCTTTTTTTTTGACACAAGAAAGTCGCCTCTTCATCGCATGCGCGGCAGCCTACAAGCCAGACGTCTGCCCTCTAGCGGTGCCGGCCGTTCTACACAGGAAACCTCCACTTTACATGCATTCAGGAAACCTCCACTTGTTTTTATATTGAGCGCATGCCATCCTGTGATGTGACAGATCCAACGGCTGCCTGAACCCTTCTCTCCTGTACTGTAAGTCCTTCAGATACAACCGGCCCTTTGAGGGTGACCAAACTGCTGATGCGGCCCCTGATTAATTTTTGAGTTTGACACCCCTGATGTAAGTAATTAATATACTGAATAGTCATACTTTTCTGTTCATATTTAGCCATCTTGTGTACTGATTTTATATAGCAAAGAGAAAAGAATACAGAGAATGAATCAAGTGAATTTATCTCTACAATATAACTAAACATCTTCACTTTCAAAAAGTGGTGCAGCCCATAAAATTGCTTCAACTGCCTCATCTCTCTCTTACCTGTTGCTAAAAGTAGGCTAATTATTTTATTAAGCAGATGCTGCTACCTAATAAATCATAGGCTTTCTTCTTTAAAGATGGGAGTTGGCAGATTGTGAGGCAGGGAAATAGTTTTATTGGTGATGGGCTTCTGGAAATGAGGAGAAAGTGAATATACATCACACCCCCCCAAAAAAAAGCCTTATTAGCAAATTAATTTCTCTTATTTAACTTGATGATATACACTGTAGAACTCTGTTTATCTTACATTGAGGAAAACTATAGTCAGGATCCTGAATTCTGACCTTCTGCTAGACTCAAGATATTTTAAACAAGTTCCACCAAACTAAGTGGCAAGTTCTTACACAATTTAAGTTAAAAGAATTTCCTTGTAAGCTGGCTAGGAAGTATGCAGTTCAAAACTTGCCCCAGCCATGAACTCACTATAAAGATTTTCACATCCTCAGATGGTTACAAATGGGGAATAGCAGCAGCCTTGACAATAAATGTGAGGAACTTTAATTCTATGCATGTTAAATGTTGGCATTACTTTATGTTGATATTTTACCATTTTTAAGACACACACTTCCTCAATACTCCAGATTTTTTCATCTTTGCTATCACTGCAAATGCAAAGCACACATGTCAAAATACTAGCTCCATTAGTAAACAATCCATTTTCAGGCATTCCTTTAAAAAGTGAGCAAAAAATAACTTCCCTCTAAAATACTTAATTTTATTAGTGATAGTACCAAAGATAACAAGTATACAATCTTTACTCTATGCTACTTACACATCATAAATATGACAGCTGTTGTTCCAAGACACAATCTTTCAGTCTTTCAAGACGCATATGAGATTTGTCATTCCTTTATTATCAGAATAAGCTGTTTGCCAGCCAACTTCATGTGGCTTAAACATCAAAAAAAATGACGGTCCATACTTTACATGGTAAAGCATTCACTATAGTTTTAATGTACACAGAGGCCAAAAGGAGAGAAAAAAAACTTTTGACTATAACAAAAAACAATGGGCTATTAAAGCAGAGTCACAATCAATGGGCTTCATTTCCTTACAGCATGTTTTAATTTTTCCATTTACCATAAAAGGTTTATATTTGCATTAAGTGCAATTTAGAGAACACAAAATGAAAGCTAGTTTTTACTTGGCTTTTCCATCTCTTTCCCGTGAGGTAAGGCAATTTGATTGTGTTATGTTATATTCAAAACACTTCTTGATTTTAGTGTAATCTTATCTTAGGGTACAACCTTTTGTTGTCAGTCTTACAATGCTGAAATGAATTCAGAGAGGAGTTGCATTTTTCAGGTGCTGTTCTCTTACAGGCTATTTTTCAACAAGTAAACAGGAATCTGTGGTTTTATGTCTTCTCCAGGGAGAACTTGCAAGTCATGCTTCACAACTGGTGTTAGAAGATAATTATTTTAAAAGGGCACTTTTGATTCCGATACCCAGTCCACAACCCAGTTATGATATACGTTTACTTAGAACTGTTCAATTCATCAGTTTGGCATACACTATAGTTAATTTATAGGATAACTGGATTGCAGACAGGGCCACATCCACTATATGATGATCCTTGAATCTTGATTTCAGCTATGACCCTTTTTTCCACTTAAACATACCTTCAATCTGTTATCAAATAACCACCAAGTACTCACAAGGCTGACCTCTCAGATGCTTACCTACTATTGTGATAGAACCATATAGAAGATAAAGGATTAGACAAAGAGGGAATTAAATAACATGTGATTCCTAGGAATCACTATTCTGTGTTTCAAAGAAGGCACTAAAGCATTAGCTTGTGCTCCCACATCCCAACTCAAAAACAAAACAATCTTGTCATGGGTATCTGTCCTATTTGCAGGTGACTGGACACACTACAATATAGCTCAAAACGAAGCCAGTTGTTTGGAGATTACTACAGAGATGTGCTTATAGTTGGAAGAATGGAAATCTAGTATAAACATGGCCGTTCTTTCTAGAATCTGAACATTAGCATGCATTGATCAACTACTAGTAAGAGAAAGCTTTTAGTCTTATAAGGAAATTACTTAAAAATATAAAAAGAAAGTCACAAGCAACAAATTAAAAGATCTTCACTTGCCTTTGTGGGCATAAACACAATAACTGTAAAACTGTGTTAGGATAAAACTTGTCATCACTGTCATGTACAACAACAAGGGAAGCATGTGTATCTCTGCACCATTTTCAAGCACATTATCAAAACATATCACATTGAGTTTAGTTTAAAAACCCACAAAGCAAAACAAAAAAATTCAAACTACCAATATTTTAACAACTTTGAAAGCATCCCCAGCAACTTTTGTGGGTAGTACAGATTACAGCTTTCCACTTATTTGTAACAGCTGTCAACCAGTCTTATCACTGAAATGCATGGATTCCTACAGATGATCAGATCCAATGCTGTTGGCTCTTGTTGCAGCAGATCCTACTGGTCAGTACTGCTTCTTGCTCATCTTCAAGTTGACCAAACCACCCAAAGAACCCGGAGTGCTGCTAGCACAACACAACATGTCCGGTTGATTGCTTGGTAATTTTCACCCTTTTTTGGTGGGTTGTGGGGGAGGGGAGGAAAAGCTTTGTCTCTTTCCACACTTGGGTCAGAGGTCCATTCAGTCCTCTACACATCTTCTGTTTTAACTGAGAGGTTTTCTTCATTTGGTTGGCAGTTCCCATTCTGTTGTAGTTTGACTTCTTCCGCAGGAGGTGTGTCTTCCTTTTCTACTTCGTCAATTTCAGAATTCTGGTTCTCTTTACTCAGATCTTTATCCTGCACAAAGTTTTAAAAAGCAAAAAATTGCAGAATAAAAAGACCGTAAGAAAGGTATGTTACATCAAATAACGTTCTGATACATTTCAGATTAGTATATATCACTTTAGTTATAGCATTTTATTTTTAAAGATGCCCACTTGTTAAGAAAAGATATGAGCAGCCAAATCTGTCTTTCCGATTAAAATATTACTGTCTGTGTATTAAAAATTGCATAACTACTTCTGCAGGCTCAATGAAGCCTCTTCCCCACCCCCATATGACATGGTGCTCCTCTAGTTTCAAAAGACTTTTTAAAGGCAGTTTGTGATACGGCATCAGGCACTGCTGACAGAGCGATGGTCAAAGCAAATCCTGGAGGATAAATAATACAACGGGAGAGAAACTAAAGGAGAGCTTATTAGGACAAGAGGACCTATAGGATGTGGCCCTCAATCACTGAAATAGAGCTTGGGTTTTCTGACATAAAGAGGAAGAGGAGAACAAGAAGAGAGTCCTAGGACCAAGGTCTAATATTAGAGACAGGAGTGTTGAGGTCTAGGCCAGCTCTGCAAGTCTGTGTTTCTGGAAATGATGGGCCTTTTCATATCCTGAACTATCAGAAGGACCAGGAGGCTGTATCTCCCTGACCCACCAAAACTAGGATGAAGTTTCTCAGGGGGTCTTCTTTTCTCCAATCCATGACTAGGAACTAGGTGAAGTAACCTCTGCATTTCTTTTGCTAAACTCCCAGAAAATACCTAGCTATACTCATGCCTGCTTCTTTAACGTCACTTGCCATGAAACCCTATGATGTGGAGATACCCTACCACACCATGGCAACAAGCACCTCCCATTCAAAACAAAAATCAGGTTCCACTAGGCATGTCCCAAAGTAGTTCTTTGTATCTCAGTCAGAAATCCCATGCCAGAACCTCAAGTTCAAATAAAGGATGGAGCAAACTAGATCAGCTACTCATATTCCTAAACACCAGCACTAAGAGATCTTGTTCCGTAAGAGTTCTAGAGGGAAGGGGGTTACTACTGAGATGCCAAGCCTAGTACGTGCAATTCTTAAGGCCTTGCAGTTCAATGTGTAACTTGACACTATTAAAAAGTATTTGTGTTCAAGCTAATGTGAAGTAATACAAAGTTTTATTTGTGGTTTTCGATCCACAGTGGCTCTTTCACACATGCAAGTGCTCACTGGATAACACAGTGAGGACTTGCTTTGCTACTAAGAACACTCCTGATACTTTTGAAGTGGTGTAGGCATAGCTCATTTCTGTATTGAAGCAGAAACAGAAGGGATTCTCCTGCTGAGGTAGTCCCCACCTGCTATACTTTGCGAATCTTGTGAACTGATTCCAGTTCTAAGAGGACAGGAGGCAAACAGCTCAGAGTGGAAAGTAACAGTGCGGGCCAATATAAATGATTTTGTTGCCTCTAACATGAAATGACACTGTGAATGTTCTCCTTATCATCTTGGATTTTGAAATAAGGCAGTCCAACAAGATGACACTGCTATAACAACCACCACTCAGCCATGTATTGTACACAACAAAGGTGCTCTATCAAAAGAAAAGGGGGGGGAATCATTCTGCAGGATCCCCCCAATTCATTAGAGCACTACAGATAATCTCATAGTGATGGTCATGTTCTGTTGCCCTCGTCTGTAATATTTTAAAGATACCTTGAAGAAGGATCTCCGCTAAGAGCCAGCCTTGGCATGTTGTTTCTCAAGAGCTGATAATGCATGTGGGCTGTTGGCACCTGACATTTTGCTCCAGGCAACCACTTTGTACCTTCCAGCTTCATACTGCTAAAAGGCATGTGCACTGCTCTACTAAGTGGTCTACTTAGTCCTATTCATCAACTGCAGTGTAATTTACATTTTCTTCAGATTCCCCACATCCACCCAGCCTGTAGTGATCAAGATGTTACTGGAGGTGCTAGGCGCTTTAGAAGCAACCAATGATCACCAAACACCACCTTAGAGGAAACTGCATGAGGTACCCAAACAGTCAATGACAAGCATTCTTTTCCACACCTATTTCTTGCTTGCTCACTCATTCACAGGGGCTTACCTTCAAAGCTGTGGTTTTATCAGATTTCTCTTTAACATCCTTGTCTTTGCTACTCTTTTTCTTGGAGGTAGACCGCTCCCTCTCTCTTCTATCATTACTCAGGTCTCTCTCCTTATCGGTCTTTTTGTCTTTCTTATTTCTGTTTTGAAAATAAGAATGAAGTAGCTGCAATTAAAAAGGTCATATACGCTCTGTTCACATTCCCCTGCATGCATCTGCTGTACGCACACAGGGACACTTTCACACAAATGCTGAACGTGCCACATGAAGGGGCAGAGGGGAGCAGCCTATAACATGGTCTGACATTCTACCAGGGCAAGAAATTAGCCAAGTGAGACAAGCCAGAACCTTACTCCCAACACTGGCAGAATAGAGAGGGAGAGATGGTCCCTGGCTCACCTTTCATGCAAAATGTGGATTGCAACCTACTTGTTTATTTTTTGTACTTGCTGATTAAAGCAGAGAGCCAAAACAAGCTTAGAATCATAGAATTGTAGAATTGCCGAGTCAGAAGGGACCTGAGGGTCATCTAGTCCAGCCCCCTGCAATGCAGGAATCTCAGCTAAAGCATCCCTGCTTTAAAACTTCCAGGGAAGGGGAGTCCACAACCTCCCGAGGGAGACCGTTCCACTGTTGAACAGCTCTTACTGTCAGAGTGTTTTTCCTGATGTTTCTGTCTCCTTTCTCCAGCTTTATGCTGAATGGGGCCAATAATTCTGCAGTCTTAGCCATGAATTCGAAGTGCCCACTTCAAATACTGCTTCTGCCTAAAGATGCGGCAGGTGGCTTCAGGCAACTAACTAGTTTTCATAGCCTCATCCCCCCAGCTGCAATACTGGGATAATCTTATTGCGGCAGCAGCGGCAGCAACAACAACAACAACAAAAATAAAAATACCCTGCCCATCTGGCTAGGTTTCCCAGGACAACATATGTAAGAAGATTTTGAACATGCAAGTGCTATAAAAATGTAAAATAATTATCCAGCAGGAGTGAACTGCTATTTTGTAAACTGCTTGATGCAGTTTTTCCACATACTCAGCTCTACTGAAAGTACCGTATTTTTCCCTCTATAACACGCAGATTTTTTCTCCTAAAAAGGAAGGGGAAATGTCTGTGCGTGTTATAGAGCGAATGTGTGGTCCCTGGAGCCAAAAAATCAAGCAAAAGTCAAATCGTGAGTCACGGAGAAGGGAAAACTGAAAAGAGGAAGTGGCAGCTTTCCTGCATTCTGCCTCAGGGTCTTACTGCCCACCCTTCTCTGTTTCGTTGCTGTGTTTGCTGAAACGGAACAAAGAGCAGGGAAAGCCCCTCCCCTCCAGGCAAGCAGAGTGTCGTTCTTTCTAATTCCTCTCTGTGCTCCGTTGCTGCTGGGGGAGAGGGAGAGAGAGTGGGGGAGGGAGAGGGAGAGGGGGGAGGGTGAGGGAGAGAGGGGGGTGAGGGAGAGAGGGGGGAGGAGGGAGGGAGGGAGGGAGGGAGGGAGGGAGAGAGAGAGAGAGAGAGAGATGGCTGGCTTGGGGGGGAACTTTTGCCTTTCTTTCCTCCCACCCTTAGCCAGCTGCTTCTCTGCACACCCCTCTCATGTCCCTTCTTTGTTTTTCCTTCGCTCCCCACTTAAAATGTGGTTACAAAGCATAGATCAACATGGATCCTCAGGATCTTTGCATTGGGTCAGCCCAAATTCACCATCAGAGCACATAGCATGTCCATAGCTACAGCCTGCACCAAAAAAAGCACGCACCCACTGTTGCCTGGGGCTGCAATGGTGCAAAAACGTGGTTACAAAGCATGGATCCACAGGGATTCTCAGGATTTTTGCATTGGGTCACCCCAAATTCACCATCAGATCACATAGCATGTCCATGGCTACAGCCTGCACCAAAAAAATCACGCACCCACTGTTGCCTGGGGCTGCAATGGTGCAAAAATGTGGTTACAAAGCATGGATCCACAGGGATTCTCAGGATCTTTGCATTGGGTCACCCCAAATTCACCATCAGATCACATAGCATGTCCATGGCTACAGCCTACACCCAAAAAAGCACGCACCCACTGTTGCCTGGGGCTGCAATGGTGCAAAAACGTTACAAAGCATGCATCCACAGGAATTCTCAGGATTTTTGCATTGGGTCACCCCAAATTCACCATCAGATCACATGTCTGTGGCCACAGCATGAAGCACAAAAATGATACATCCACTGTTTCATTCAGAATGTTTTTTCCCTTGTTTTCCTCCTCTAAAAACGATGTGCGTGTTATGGTCAGGTGCGTGTTATAGAGCGAAAAATACGGTAATTTTTCACTGACAAAGAAATCAAAAGTGCATCCATATTCCAGCTCATACAAATGCCAGTCTTAAAATTCACATCCCCTTTTCCTTATAATTTGAGTTTAAAATTTTATGCAGCACACTTCAATAGAAGTATTTCCAGGATGCATGTGTGTGTGCCAACCCCAATTTCTCGTCATTCTAGTAAAATGACCACTAATAGAGTGAGGTGTGCAATGGGGAGAGCCTGCAGTGTATACTGTAGGACCTTGCGTGATAGAGCTATACACTTACCTCCTTGGAGATGGAGATCGAGAGGATTTCCTTTTTGTGATTTTAGATGATCTTGGAGACTTTGAGGGACTTCGGCTCATCCTCTTCCGTCTATCTCTGTAGGATTCAGTAATTAAAGATTAATGTTGGAAATTACAATTCACAAGTGGGAACTGTAACAAAATGTTGCAGTGTGGAGAGCTCTTGTTCACTGTTTTTAGTCAGCCAGCCATGCCTTCCCCTTCTACCTCCTTTCTGCTTTTCCCCACGACCCAATTGTCAGTATTCACTGGCCACTGGGCACACTCAATTCACCCCAGGGGGATTTTCCATAAAGATTTTTTGCACTTCTGGAAACCTCAGGATTTCCCCTAAGCAGCCTTACGTGCTCAGTGCGCAATCACACAAATTAAATGCACGCAAGGCAGAGATCTCGTGAGAGTCGCTAGACCCCGCACAAGAGCTTCCCAAGGGGGCAAGGGCCACTTAGCTTACTGGCTTCACAAAGGTAGAAATGGTCATGTGGGAGCAGTGCAGAGGTTGTTCTCACTGTATACGATTTTGGCTTTATGTGCAAACCCTGCACCCCGCCTCCTAGAACATGAGCCTACTGTATTTATCCCTTCTTCTTCTTTGCAATTCTAAAGACATGATTTATTCTACACTGATTTGAATACATTTCCCCCCAAAAAAGTTTTTCATAAACAGAAGCAAAAAATCTACAAAGCATGACAAAATTATAAGAAAAAAACTGGACCTGCTGGAACTTCGTGATCTTCTTGAGGAGCTGTAGCTTCTGGGGGGTGTCCTGGATCTCTTTTCTTTCTTCCTTTTTTCATCTCTCTCTTTTTCTTTCTCTCGTTCCCGCTCCTTATCTCGGTCTTTTGCCTTCTCTCCTTCCTTGTCCTTATCTTTTGGCTTCTCTGCTTCCTTCTCTTTTTCTTTTTCACTGCTTTTCTCCTCTGCTTTTTCTTTCTCTTGGTCTTTCTCCTTGTCCTCCTCTTTTCCTTTTAGCTGTTCTTCCTTGTCTTCCTCCTTCTCAGTCTCTGTCTCTTTTTCCCTCCCTCTGACTTTGTCCAGATCCTCTGCCTTGTCTTTTTCTGTGTCTGACACTTTCTCCTTGTCTCTTTCTTTTTCCTTCTCTTGGTCTTTGTCCTTCTCCCGATCCTTGTCCTTATCTTTTGCGCGATCTTTGGTTCTATCCTTGGTCTTCTCTTTGTCCCTCTCCCTCTCCCTGCCCCTTTCCTTCTCCCTGCCCCTGTCTTTATCCTTGTCTCGATCCTTCTCTTTTTCCTTCTCTCTGTCTTTTTCTCTACTAATCTTTTCCTTCTCTCTGATCCTCTCTTTGCTTTCCTTCCTCTTCTCCCTGTAAAATGAAAACATTAATTTAAACTGTGCAGCATTCATTACAACAAAGGACTAAAGTCAACTGCTGACACAAAAACCTCACACCTATACTATGTAAAAGAATTAATGTTTACTACCCCGCCTTCCCTCCTACCCCTACATCTTTTCTCCCCACCAACCAACATCAAAGTCTCATATTAAATGACTGATCTGTAGAAAGGACTTCATGATCTGATAATAGAGATGATGTATGTACCTTGTAACCCCCCCAAAAAAAAACCTTAATAAAAAATAATTATAAAAAACAAAGAACTAAAGTCAACTAAAGAGCTTCTTGCCACCCTCAAGCATACCTTCAGGATTGCAAAAGAGCATCTAGTAGAGCAGTAGTAAATCTAGTAAAGGAAGGGTAACACCTCCTGAATCTGTTTTATTTGCTTTTAGATTTTTATACCGTTTTATTGATTTGGGGGCTGAATTTTGGTTTTCATGGATATTGTTTTTATATTTTACACATTACGTAGTTTAGAAATGCTTTTAAGCAAGTAATAAGTAAATAATAAAAAGGAGATAAAATTAGAGCTATTTGTTATACTGAAGGAGTGAAAATGTTGGGATGCTACAAAAACCACTATTTTATGGTGAGATTGTAACCCTACATCTAATGTTCAGGAAGTCGCTCAATACCTCACAAGGAACATAAAAGAAATAAATTAATCATAGGAATCTTACCGAGAAGGCGACCGGCTTCTTGATCTCAGCCTTTCTTTAGATTTTGAGCGCTTTTTGGGTGGAGTTTTGGATCTGCGCCTGTCCTTCTGGCTGGAGACGGATCTGTCCCGTCTGTCCATCTGGCTGGAGACGGATCTCTCTCGTCTGTCCTTCTGGCTGGAGCGGGATCTGTCCCGCCTGTCCTTCTGGCTGGAGCGGGATCTGTCCCGTCTGTCCTTCTGGCTGGAGCGGGATCTATCACATCTGTCCTTTTGGCTGGAGCGGGATCTGTCACGAGATCTACTCCTATAGCATGCAACAGCAAATGATAAATGCTATGGACTACGTTGTTTCACCAATCCCTATTGTAAACCATACAAATTGTAATTTGCACTCCACTGTACAAAATAATTTACAATTTTTCAAACAATATTTAAAACGGGCATAAAAGAGAGAATGTAAATCAAAATTAGCTTCCTAGCAAAAGGTAACTAAAACAAAATTGTTTGAGAAAGGCAATCAAACTGATAAAATAATGCACAGCAAGGTGCCACCTCAAATTAGCATTACTTACAGAACTAAGATGTGGTGTAAGTATTCCATAATGAGGCCTCCTTCCCCCACTTTTTTCAGAGGAGAAGAATCTCGTGAAATTTGCTTCCATGCATACAAAGCTTTGCAGTTTGTATTAAATGACAACCCCTTCTTTGGATTGTGTGCAGACATTTACTATAACATGCCCATGATTGGGGGGGGGGCAGGGTGGGATATGGGAGACAGAAACACTGCATTTCATTATTGAGGCTCATTCAAATGGTCCATATACCGAAGGAATACCCCCAAGAGATACATCTCCTTCATCAGTAGTATTTATTTTTGGAAAGCTCCCTGAATATTTTAATGTGTGTCATCATCACCAAGCTATACAATGCACTGCAAAGGATTAAGCAAAGCTGCTGTTTGTGATCCAAGTGAGGTCCAACAAGCTAAGAACTAAATGGGTATAAAATTACATTTGTGGCTCACCCAAAATGATTTTGTACAGGAAAACATTTATGAAAGTATCTGCAAAACAATTTCACTGAACTTGCTCGGGTTCCTATTCAGTGCCATTATTTATTGCAATACTCATCTGACGCAATAGGAGTGTGTGTGCATGCTAGAGATTTGAAGTGGAGCTAACGTTCTGTTGTAAGTTTCCACAAACAAAATTTGTATTTCATTTATTTGCTTACATTTATATCCTGCCTTTCTTCTATCATGGAAGCAGCATAGTTGTTGTTTCCAGGTCAGCTATTCAGGCACCAGACCTGTTTTGCTTCAAACCACCCTGGTTGCTGGCTAGACTGTAAAGGCTACCCAACAGAAGTAACAAAGGTGTTCCACTGAGATGTTTCAAACTGTTACCTACCTCATCCAATATACTGCTCAGCATGCTGATCAAATACTTATTCTGGTTTCCTTGCATTTTGTGATTTTAATATTTGTTATTGTATTGACCAGAAGAACAGAGAGATAAAACACATAAAAAAACCATGTTCTCAGATCCAGTACTGCAACTGGGAAACTAGTGAATGGGACTGCACACTCTACACAGAAGGCCCATTTTAAATCAAGTACTTCCATTGCTTATTAGCATCATGGCACTCCTCTGTACTTAAGTGTATTAAACTTCCACTGAATAGTATGACTGCCATCACAACAGATTTAGAATTGAGGTGGTAGCGGGTGGTTTTGCTTAAAAGAAAGGACCTGTAAACCGAAGAGGCAACAAGAACAAAACAATGTCGGATATTTAGATAAACAAAGACTGATGTAACAAAATGTAAAAATAATTCAGTATGACATAATTCGTACTAAACACCATCTGAATCTGAGATACTTAACTGCTGTATACTCTGGGGCAAAAATTAAGAGGAAACAGACCATTTGATTTGGGGGCTACCTCAGTTACCTAAAAACTCATGTTGCCATGATTTCCATCCTTGAACTTCAGAAGCATTGACACAGTATGTTAAGGGACAACTTCATGCATGTTTGGCTGACATTACAAGATCAGGGCTGTGGACCACTGGGAGCTGATTGGCACATGTGACAGAATTGTGCCAAAGTCCATGAATTTTTGAAACAAGTGATTATAAAAATCAGGACACTTAATAGATAAAAATGTTATCCTAGACCTGAATTATGTATTTTGTATAATTTTTATAAAGGTAACGCAGATCTTATATGTAAGCAGTTAAATGTATAGTTACTGGTAGCTGCTTGGTTAGTAATGGAAACAAGCTTCACGCTATACTCATTAATTCAAGAAAGTTATGTTCATTGCTATCTCAGAGAAACCGAGATATCTAAGCAGCTAAGGGTGGCACTGATCCTTCTGACTTCACCCCTATTGTGGGATTATATATTAAATATATGACATTGCAGTCACAGGAGTGGCAAATCCCTCCAAAATATAGTTTTATTGGGTGGCATTTTTTTTTCTATTTCCTTCCTTGTATAATGTAAGATGTGTTTTTATAATTGTATCCATTTCAGTCACTTCTGATTTTTTTATTTTATTTTGACTTTATTATCAAAATCTCCATTGTGTTGAACTCACATTATTTTACTTGCGCCTTTTCTTCAAAACCCTAACAACTAGAAAAAATTGTGCTATACTGTGAGGCTAAAATTAAGGGGAAACAGCTCAGTTACCTAATAAACTCAAGACACTGAGATTTTCTCCGTCAAACGTCAGAAGCACAGACAGCAGCGTCATATTTTGAGTGATGTGACATGTTAAGGATGGGGGAAAGGTGTTCTCTTAGCTTCCCATTAATTTTTGTAAAGGGCATAGCTGCCACTTTCTGCAAAAGCCCAATAGGCAGAAGCAAAACCACTTATCTTTTTTCTGCCCCATTCTCAATAAAGGAAAGATGCTTTTAATTCTGCAAGTTGGGGTTTTGCAGAAACCTATCGCCTCCACAAACTGAACAGGCAGTGGAAGTGCATGTGGATTCTCCCTCTTCCCAACTGGGTTTTCGGAGGAAGCAGCAGTGAGGCATCTTTTCAAGAGGCCAACTTCTAAGAGAGAACGCCTTCATTCTCCTCCTCAGAGAAGGAGAAAAGTAAACCCAAAAGCAGTTATTGGTGGAAGCACAGGGATTCTTGGAAGAACGGATAGATTTTGTCCTCTGGATTCAGCACGATTTACTGTGTAACCATTTCCGAAACTGTTTCACTACAGCTGCCATCTTGCCATGAAAAATAAGGAATTCAAATTCAAAACAGCTCCTCATTTCAACCATCCACAAATTGTATTAACGGCTTAAATTGAATTTCCTTAAGAAACAGAGAAGGGACAGGTCAACTGTTGCTTTCAGAGGATACATACGTGAGAATTTTACCTGCGTTTTGAGTGTGATCTTTTCCTTCGAGATTTTGAACTAGATCTGGATACTGAACGTGAATGGGAGCGCGACCGACCACCTTTCCTTTCACTGCTCTTTCCAGACTCTGAGAGAAAAAACGACTTTGCAGTGTAAGCTCAGAATATTTACAGATCCCAGCTAACAATCTGGCACAAGTGGAATGTACCACATATATTGCAAGGGGCCTACTCTCTGCACATCTTCCTTCTTTGCAAAAATCCTTCAGAAACATCCAAGAAAGTCATTGCATATATTCGTTGAGTGCAGCCATCCTGCAGCAGTACACATAAACCAGATAATTATAAACAGCTAGCTAAATAAGGAATGGGATTTATGTTGCCGCCACAATGCACAAGTTTAAAACATGTTTGGCAAAACTCACTTCAGAGAGAAACACAAATTCCAATAAAGCAGTTTGAAAAACTATGCAGAAACACACATAATAGCACTGTATTTTATTGCCAAAGCACTATTACAATTAAGGAGTCGATGCTTGAAAACCTAGTCCCCCTACAGAACGGTTTCAATAATATATGTTTTATAACCAATCACTAAATGAAGCAATAGACTGGGAATACGGATGACAAACATTAGTCAAAGTTATTCCACTGATAGATATATTTAATCCCAGTGATTTTCAGATCAGCTCAATCAGATGAACTCTGGCCAACCAGGTCAGGAAACAATACTAACTGAATCTTCCCCTTAAGCAGTAACAGATATTTCTGGATTTGGAAGTTGAATTTTTAAAAATAATAATAGCATACACCTTTTTAAAAGCAAAGAACCCAAGGCATCTGATATGCAAGTGCCAGATACTTGTAAGGTAGGTAATGGAACTGCATGTCAGTCAGCGCTATTTGTTCTTTTTAATTGGTTAAAATGTTACAATTAATAATAATAATTGGCAAGCTAAATATTTCAACATTCATTAGAAAATCATGTAACAGTCAGCTCTTGCCAGTGAGACCTCTTCTGAAACTGCTATCATAGAACATTGGGAGGAGTCCTCTCTGTAAGCTAGGATTGCAAATGAGTTTGCTGAACTAGGAAGATTAGAGATGAACCAGATCTCTGTCTCCAACTCTCCCCTTCGCCAAAACTGCTAGAATCTTCTCATTCACTTGCCCAGTTTCAGAAGAGAGCTAACCAAGAAAGAAGTGGCTGCAATGAAGTTTCCTAATGAGTTCAGATATCACAGGAAACCGGTTTAAGAAACTGGGAAGTTTTCTCTGAAGCTGAGTGTGCAAGGCAGTGGGGAAGAGAGAACAACCTCAGCTTGTTGCTTCATTCCCAATTCACCAAACCATGATCTGCTGAACCAGGAATGTTATTTGTGATATATAGAGAAGGGAGACTGGATGGGATTAGGTCACAGAAAAAAGGTAAGGAGGAATGTGAGCACAGTAGGTAGCAAGATGAAAGGAAAAGACTGAAGAAGCAGCAAGACACCTGGCAGGGGAGAAGGTGGAGGAGACAGGGAGTTAATGAAAGGAGGGGCCAACAAGGGGGGAAAAACCCATACATTTATGTTACGGTTAATAAAAAGGACTCCATTCAGCACTTTGACAATAGAAAGCAGTGCTACCCAGTGCATGAACAGTTCTATCTTCACGGTGTGAAGTGTAAAACCACTCAGACGCCATCAAAAACAGATGGGTCACAAAATAATGTTGTCCATCGGTTGTTGCTCAAGCTGGCCTTTCCCTATATCTAAAAATAAATAAATAATAAAAAGCTATTCTAAGTATACACCAGGATTCATTACAGCAGAGATACGTTCATCCTAGCAGTGGTGATAGTCGTATTGCAAGAAAGTAGTAATATCCTACCTGGCTCAATAGCAGCAGATATAAAAGACTGGGCTTCCCGTACTCTCTTCATCACTTCTTCCAACTCCTTAGCAGCAGCTTGTGGCGTCATTTCTGGAGGCTTCACTATTGCATTATTGGAGTGATTTATTCTAAATTAAACAAGCAAACTCAATTCAGTTTATACGTCATTGCACATATGCACACGTAGTTGAACTAGACACACAGAAAAAAATAGGCACTTCACACCCAAATATTCATTTTATAGTGCAGTCAGCCACAGAACTGGGGACCAGCACAAGCCTATCTTAAGTCCACAACTACTTTGGATTATACCTCGTCCCTGCAGGTAAGGGATGACGGAAAATCTACCTTTATTTATGTTCTCTGTTAAACACCTGGGAAAAGAGACTTTCTCTTTCCTTTTTCCTGTCAACTCCTTTTCTCATTAAGGCTCGTTGCTTTTTGAAGTCTATGTGCAAGCTTTGTTCTTTTTAGTTTAAACTCCAGGTGCTGTATTATAGTCAAGTCACTTTAGAAATAACAAATGTTATTAAATACAGTATTAGGCAAAAGAAATAAGTGTTTCGCTGGCTCCATGCAAAGGATATATGTATTTGATTTTGCAAAGTGCACCCATTTCAAAACATGGAAAAGAGCCAAAAGGGGATTACAACAGGTAACTACATTTTTGCAAATGTTTTGCTTTAATTTTGGCAGTTTTCTTCCAAATGCTTCAGCTTAAACTTAAGATTTCTGTTTGAAATGCTGAATGCCAGACCACTTTTATCCTCATAGTTGTTTCACCATTACTAAATAAATAAATAATTTCAATCTGTTTTAGTATTTTAGCTTTTGTATGTTGTTTTAAAGTAGGGTTGTAATTTTTTCTTGATTTTGCTATTTTCTCTTTTGTAAACTGCTTTGAGGTTTGGTTTTGGTTTTTTTTTACAATCAAGCGTTGTATAAATTTTATAAATAAAAGCATTGGCTTGTTGGCTCAATTTTTACTTGATTTTGCAAAACTTGCCTCTGATCTCTAGAGCTGGAGTTGCCCGTGGTCTTTATTTCAGGACAGGAACCAGTATGGAGCCTGGGGGTATTAAATTGCAAACAGGGTAGAGCTCACAGAGGATACCACTTGAACTGTTGTGGCACATGCCTCTGCTTGCACACAAGCAACAGCTAAAAAGAATAAGATTGCACTTTTTCTACCAAAGTACTAACGGCAAACAGATTAACAGGCTTTATCAGGTACTTGGTAAAGGGATTAAAGTACCATTGAAATGGCAACTTCTGCATGGCAAACCTTTCACACAGGTTCAGCAGATCCGTTTGCCAACATGAACAAGATTTAGGTTTTAAGTAAAGACAGAGGGCCCTTGCACAGAGTTAAATAAAAAATGCATGCAAATATTGCTATGGAAATGCTATTCTGTGCTAAAAAAAATAATTTATAGATATATATTATTCAGTAGTTTCCTAAAACTGTGGCAGAGTTCTATAGGACAGGGTTGCAATTACACACAATATACCTCCCAATTTATTTTGATAATATTTGTACAGTTTCTTACTTCAGCGGCCTATCTCCAAACACAACTCCATTAAAGGCAAGGGCTCTAGGAACAGAATTTTGGTCAGCAAACTCGACAAAAGCAAAACGTGTTGGTTGAGTCTCATCGCCTGCCATCCGCACAAACTTGACTTCTCCAACTTGCTTAAAAAACTCAAGAAGCTGATCGGCTGTAGTAGTCTTTAAAGAGAAAGAAAGAGGGCTCAGTCAAGTAACATCACGTGCATTCACTTATAAGCCTGTCCCATATCCTTTGACCTAGCCAAAATAGATACCCAAGTCCCAACTACAGTAACTGTAAACTCCTGAATGACCACTCCCCATACTGCATGGTCTGTCCATCTAATGCAGACTATAAACCAGGAAGAGCCAACATGGTGCCCTTGAAATATTTATTGAACTACAACTCCCATCAGTCTCAGACAGCATAGCCAATGGTCAGGTATGATGGGAGTTATAGTCCAACTACATCAGGAGGGGATCATACTGGCAACTTCTGGTATAGATCATCTGAGTGGGGCCTTGTGACCTGTGTGTTGTGCACAGCACCATACTATACAAGTTGGGAGGAAAAGTAATCATTTTCAAGCTCTTGCAGGCTGTATAGAGTCTGTAACTAACCTCTGTACACAGCATCAGGGAAAGGCTGATGCAGCAGATGCTCTTTTAGTTTGCTCAAAATCAGAGCTATCAAGCCATGGAATATAAAGCTACACTTTCCATTAATGCAGGTGTGGGGAACCTTGGGCCTTTCTGGTATTGAACTACAGTTCCCATCATCCCTGGCCATTAGCTATGCTTGCTGGGGCTGATGAGAGCTGTAGTTCAGCAACACCTGGACGGCCACAGGTTCCTCACACCTGCATTAATGCATCTACTGTAGCAAAGACATTTACCTGGGAATTCAAGTTTCCAACATATACAGTCCTCCTAATTTCATCAATCTTGGAAGGATCCACATTGCCCATAATGGGCGGCTGCGGTATGTCTCCAATGGCTGTAATATTATGATCCAACGCTGCTGCTGGTATCGCACCCAGTGGACCAAGAGAAATACCAATCTGAAAACAGAGGATAGTTTTTACAGAAATAAGTATGAAAAGTTTTCCTCCCACTGTGGAATGATTCAAATTAAATTCACCTCAAAATTTAGGACTGTTAGCACTAGTCCTAAAACCTGCTGTTTGATATGTGACCACAAACCATCTTGGCTGACCAGACCAAGTAAAAGGAAAACTGTGTAAAAAGCTGTATACACTGTTACTAATATGTCTTAAAAAGAGGAGTCCTCTTCTATGTTTACCAAAAGCATTACTGCATAATTACTTCAGTCCTCTTTCAATTCTAGAAAGTTTAGCACCCAGAAGATGGCAAATCTAAGAGTACACAACAACACCTGGAGTTCATTTTAAAATTATTTCAATCTACAGGTGCTGTAGCTTTAACATTATGCCAGCTTTCTCCCCCACCCAACTTTTTTTTTTATTTTTTGCTTAACATTCAGCCTGACAAGGAGTTCTGGAGAACTCTAGATATTGCTCATTGTGTTGCAACATTCAGACTGGTCCTAATAATTTCAAATAATTGAATAATTTCAGATTCAAGACAATTACTGCAATCATTACCATGTAATGGAACATGCACCCAAAACAGAACAGAATAGCCTGCATCCCCTTTAAGTAGAATTATTACATGGATATCTACTTACTGAAGTCACGGGTGGTGTTGGTATAGGAAGCAACCCTCCACCAGGAATCAGGCTTGTCATTGTAGGAGCAGGAGCCAAGAGGGAGAGGGCTTTGGCTTCATCTGGAATTTTACCTGAAGAAGCAAATATTTTTGTTACTAAAAGTAACGCCACCTCCCAAGTGTTATTTTTCCATTTTATTTTTTTTACCAACACCCTTCAACTTAAAAATAGTAAAGAAAAAAAATCAATCTATGAGAGCCTTACAAAAAAGAAAATAATTCCAAGTTTTTCCTTTGCCCCTGCTCCACTAGGAACAACAAGTGAGCAAAACTAGCATTACCGGATTATTACTTTAAAAACTGAACAATGTAGACAATTATTTAACACTTTGAGCTATGGGTCACCTGTACTGGAAACTTAATGTTCATGAACCAAACGATATCAAGCATGGACGCTTTCGCAGGACGTTGTTTTCACGGTGATCGAAAGTTGTGTTACACATGACAACCGTTCGTGTTGGCTGCATCACTAATAGCACACAGAACATCAGATACAGAAAAGAAGAACATTTTTTAAAGTTTAATCCCCAGAAATGGCAAATAACCAAATCAGTCAAAAGGAAAAAAAAAGAGGAAACAGGAGTGTGCTAACCAAAATCAGCCCTTTTTGTCTGCTAAAATAGCTGAGTGAAAAATGTTACCAGGTGACTGCCTTTTGTCAGTCCAGTACAACAACTCAAGCAAGGCAAAAAACCTAGAACCGCACTGATTTTTAGCTTAGGTACTTCAACTACCCAGTTTCCTTAACATCCGGAGGTAGCGGGGCATTTACCAAAATATTTGTTCAATCTCATTGGTCCAATGCAGACAAGCATTTATGTCTGAGTGCCTAAACCATTGTTAAGCACTACACCTTCATCACATAAGCATAACTAAGGTACTTTGACTACCTGTCCGGCATCTTTATTTGTCAGGTGACAATAAGTTCTGCTGATATCCCTATATATTTTCTCTGGAAGCATGGCTGACCCTCAGTAAAATAAACAATAATGTCACTATATGTTTGGGATCTTAACCCAACATTTAATACTAATTATAATCAACCATTGCCTGCACTGGATTATTACCTAAAATGAACTTGACTAAAGCACGCTTTAAGTCTAACCCACTTAGTCTTTCCTTAAGATATCCTAAGAGCTGCTAAATATTGTGATTTCCATTTAAGCTTCAGCAACCTGAGTTTAAAAAGCCATACAAAATTCTAACACACACAAACCAGAATTATTTGAAAAACTGACCAGAAATTATTACCTGCACATGGCAAAGCACTCTGCCTAGAAGTCACCTTTGTCTGAGGTAACACTAAGTGTTACTCGTCAAAGTAACAACAACCAACCTAAGCCACTGAGCCCTCAAATCACCTGGTGTTTTAATGACATTTCCAAAGAGAGAGAGATAGACCCTTTTGGTAGTTTTTTTAAATCCCTACCCACTAACATCCTATCTGCCCCTCTCCTACTGCTACAGTCCTCATTTCCATAGACAATCAAAGACATAATATGGGGCAAACTCTCGAACTACTGCATTAACTTCTGGAAGGTTGCTACACTTCAGAAAGTTTCTGGTGTTAGAAGCTGCCTGTGATTTTCAAGTTCCTTAGGCAATCTGAGTTTGTGAAGCATATAATTACAAAATAAACCAAAGCCAATACTAAGGCAGCAATAAAGCATTACAATTAAAATATTAATAGCTTCTTATCCAGATAGAGATAAATTATTCCTGATTTTTCTTGGGCAAAATACAAGGCCCATGTGTAAGAACCAAATTATGGTCTAAGACGTACACATGAATTAGCCAGTGTCTCTCGACTACAATAAAATTCAAGTACATCAGTGTTCTGATAGGTTCCTTCAAGATCAAGATAATACATGGATAAAAATCAATGGGAATAAATAAGACCACTTCCAAGCTTAAGTACTACAAGTAAAGGCTTTTTCAGACTTTACTAAAAAACAAAACTCATCATCAAAACTGAAACATCAAAAATTCTATGTCTGATCAGAACAAAACTACTAAACGTAAACTAGAATCCAGAAAACTAGTTTCACACACAACTACAACTTCTCTGCAACAAAACTATTCTTTACCTAAAGAGTATCTTTTGTTCCTAACTATACATATATCTATACATTTCTCAGCTTAGTGATGAATGGAGTTAAAGTCCACAAAAAATAAAAACATATTTCAGTAGTTTCAATCTCCACAAAAGATATCCATATTTGTTGAAACTCCTTTCTATGTATAAAACACTAAGCATTGTCAATGGCTAAAATGACATTCTTAAAAGCAATGATATGAAGTGTGCACGCGCAGACGCAAACACACACACATACACACTTCGCATTCATTCAGAGCTAGACCATGTCATTTTAAACTGATTGATCGCTATAATTATTTGTGTCAATTTACTTGTGTCAGTTTAAAACCTCTGGTGTCTTACCCTCACTTGAAGTAATCTTTATAGCTTAAAAAAAAATATTCAAGTGGCTTTAGAATAACTCTAAATTTTGGCTCGTTAGCAAAATCAGCAACTTCAGGAGGATCTATTTTTAACAATATAATTCCTTGGCTGCTTACGTCAAATTCCCAGAAATTTCAAAATTCTTTATTGAAAAAGAGAACAATGAAAGAGATGACAATATCAATTTGCGCTCATCTCTACTTCAGAGAAATGTAACAGAAGAATGTTGGTATTTTTCTTGAGAGTTTTACACAGAAAATATTCAAACTTGACAATGAAAACACTTCTATGATGTGCCTCTGCTGTATCTAAGAATATGCCATAAGCGTGAGCCAACTCAAGAGAAAAATTAGTCCAGCTTGCCGTCTTCCCATAGAATGCTACAGTAAAGAGAAGACAGTATATAAAACAAACACTGGTCAATACTTCACATTCAATTCACGATTGAGTGTTTTCCAGGCTTTCTCCTATTTTTTGAGAAATGAATTAAGAATATTAGTATTATTTATTTCTTTTCAAAATAAATAATACGACAGCCAATTAAACAGGCCAAGTATAGGTATTGAAAAACAATGTCCCCCCCGTTCACATACTCACCCAACCATGTGGAAGCATTTTCCTCACAGAGCTCTCTCATATGGTTTCAGCATTCATATACATACTGCCACCAAGAACACAGTGGGAAAGTGGCTCCCAAACAACTCAGTGAACATGTGAAGGGAGCCATTATCTTTTTAGATATGGGAAACCAACTTGCTATGGTTGCTTAGTAAGAGAGCTTCTGGGAAGGGAGAGGGAAGTATTTTCAGAGGACAGTCTTCAGATTGTAGTCCAGAAAAGCCACATATATCTAAAAGCTTCAATAATATGAGCCAATGGATCACTTCACTTTTCAAATAATCCAATTCTAGCCAGATTTACTCAGAAGTAATTCCTATTAATTTTATTCATCTTTTATTTCTAACTATGGATGTTTAGGATTGTATCTACAATCTAACTACAAAGTCTAAACTCTGGAATTTTTGGTTGATCTATGAACAATTTCATAGGGTCAAGTTTAAAATGAATCATGAACTCTTATAACAGAACACCATTTTTACAGAACTGAAGAACCAGCTCACAGGTAGAAATGAAAGAATTAAAGCAAAAAAGGGACAAAATTAACAAAAAGAAGAGAAAAGAAAGCAAAATAAAATAATAAAAACAGAGACAGGGCGTCCATCTTCTGCAGGCCAGACTCCGCTCTCATTCCCCCATGAAGTTGTCACTTGGCGGCAGGTTTAGTGGCATGGCAAACAATGCCTAACTCAGGCAAGTGTAACAGGTCTGCCTTGGCCAGTCTAGTCATCTAATAATGCACAAATATCACACAGAGAAAACATACAAAACCAAATTAATAGTCAAAATCCATCTTCCAGAAAATGTGGACATAAAAAAGTTCAGAATGATGGTTAAAAGTGGCATCTCTGATACATTTCAATATTGGCCTCTCTCAAACCAGAACAAGTTTTTTCGAGTGATTTCAGTTATACATACAATGGAAAGGGGCCACATCTTGACAATGTAATGATGTTTTTTTTGTTTTTGCCAAAGTCACAATGTTGGTTAGTAATGTGAATAGTGGTGAAGTGTGTTTGTGTTATACATTGAACACCAGTTTAATGCCCAGTGCGGGCCTTCAGAGGAGAATAATTTCTGACAGACAGAATAGAAGTATTTTTTAAAAAGCTGTTGAATTCCTTCTCTTTCACCCCCACCCCCATATCCTTCTATGCCAGGTTTCTAGACAATTATCATTCCCGCGAGAAAATTATTATGCAACATCTGGATTTTCCAAGAGAGACCAGCCACTAGTAGGCAAGCGTAGATAAAACAGCACATTATACCAGTGCTCTTGCAGTCTGCTCCTTTTCCCCATTTGGTCGAAGGTAAATTCAAGGAAGATGTCCATAAAGTTTTAACCATTGCCCAGACTATGCATTTTCTAACTAAAACGATTTGGAATTCTTATTAGTAGTCTAAAAAACACATCATTAGAAAACTATGTTGAGATGTTCCTCTTCAGAAAATGACATCTTTGAAATTCCTTGCCTGCATGGACTACCAGTCCTAATTAGGAATGAAATCCTCTGCAAGCTTACCTGAAAGTAAGCCACCTTGAACTCTTTGAGTATAGTTGAGTAGGATTGCACTGTAAGTGCTATTTAAGAAGCTGTACAAGCAGCAATTTTTAAGGTAGTTTACGCTGTCAGGATAAATGTCCATTATTTAACATGTTCTTTATTTCCATTTACAGGTTTAAATAGGTAATGTATGCTTTCTAGAATTGTAAACTGTACCCAAACACAGCATTAATGATCAGCACTATGTATATATGTATTTATTCTATTTATTATTGACTCTAGATATTTTATTATGACATCGTGTCTCTCTGGCAAGTCAACTTTGGATGTAAACTTACACACATTAAACATTGTGTAAGCTTTGTGTAAGCATGCAAAAAAGTTTGCCTGTTATTTTATTGAGCATAACCCTGTCTTCCAACAACTTATCAGCAGAAATAACAGGGTAGAGGAGCACCACCACCATGCACCCTGAAGCAATTGGGTACAAGGAAACAAAAGGAAGAAGGATCTTCTTTTTTATAGTCCCCAGGGTATCCCTTCCTCACCAGCCACTTTCCATCTGGAGGGGTGATTTTATTACCTTTACTAGTTTGAAATAGTTATCTCATGTGCTTAGCTATTCTTCTCTCATGGGAGTTACAAGAGAGCAAACGAAAGACCATGAAAGCAGGGTAGCATAGGACACTCATTTGTTCTTAGTACAGTAACAGTGTTGTTATCAGATAGGCAAGTATAAAATATAAAAACTGTTCTTCTCCATGCCCAAAGTATCAGTCCCAAAACAAAGAATAACAATCTCAGATAAAGGTAGGTAACCTTCATATACTCTCTTGACTTTAGAAATTTGGTTTTAGTTTGGTGAAGCTATTCCAATAACACCAGGGTAGAGAACCTGTGGCTCCCCAGATGCTGTTGGACTAAAGCCATGCTGTCTGGGTCTGAGGCCCCCCACAATAATCCTAGCTATATCACTATAGAGTCAGGGTATACCAGAAATGGGATAAAACAGTGGTTTGGTGTATTTCCTATCAGCATATCAGTGAGGCCAAGAGGTCTTGCTGTCTGGGCAGCACAGGATATCCAAACATACTGCCCAGGCTTGCACCCAAGGGAGGTCACTTTGGTGCTGCTAATACAGCGGTTTTCTTCACCCCTGGAGGTGCACTCCACTGTCTCTCCAGACAGATGGATGCCAACAAGTGGTGCCATTTCTGTCCCTGAATAAACCATGCTAAGAACCAACTCAGAGCCACAAATGAAAACTACTGAAAACTAAAACAAAGGGCATAACTGATTAGTTAATGGTACTTTTAAGGCGTTAGAATTGACCACTGAAAATTTTGCTCTTATGTATCTGCAACATATAGGTAAGAGTAGGCACAGATCTCCCTACTCCAGAAATGCATGTATTCCTGCTTTGCCAGAGGGAAGAAGAGAGGTTTTGTTTCTCAGAACATATATACTAAGAATAGAACTGTAGTGTCATGCACACTTTATACTAAAACTCCATACTGGATGGTATGGGCAGTATCCAACTAAGTCTTTTCACCAGCACAAGGATTTCTGCTTGCGTAACGTAACTTCCTCCCCACATGTATCCAGTGCCCTCTCCAAATCTGCCCTGGAGGGGAGGAGGAATAGATTTAGGGAGCATGGCGAGCAGGTGATTAGATGGTCAGTTGCACAAGTCATCTACCTTGCTGCGATGGATCAACTTAGTTAGATACTGCCCTACATGTGAACATTACCCAGTTTAAGTGCAGAAAGGGAAATGGTAAGTAAAGAACACAGAAACACAACTCTCAAACAGAAACCCCCATGATAACTCTTTGATTTTTTTGTGCTTTTAGCGCTTATTACATTTCCACAATCAGAAAAGCCATATATCAATATTTCTAAAAGAAATTCTGAGGTCCACAGAAAGGCACACTCTCCAGGCTGCAGAAAGCCACGTCAATGGTGCTCCACAACTTCAAACAATCTTGCTAGAAGACATGACACTCAAGCCTGTGATATGGCACAGAAGCAGTTTTTCTACTGCATTTGAGATTATGTCACCAAAGTCATATTAATTTACCATAATAAAACATTTCAATTAGCAATGTAACTGGGTAATGATAATGTAACATAGTTATGTATGTAAGAAAAAAGACTGCAGGTTTTATTAATTCTGAAAATACCCAAGAATTCTTGAAAACTGTTCAGGATAGAGAGCAGAAATAAGGGTCAATAAATTTCAATAGATGTATTCCCTTTCTCTGTTATAGGAAAGTTCTACTACAAGGATATGTTTATATATCTGCACTGTTTTTATCTATTTTGGAATTGAAACCCTAAAGCTTAGTACCAAAACTTCAGCAATAAATGTTTTGATACATGTTCTGAACGCATAGGAATGGATGGTCCTGATAGCAGACAACGGCACAAGCATTTCCACTAGTGCAATGGGCCTCTCCCCCTCCCCTGCCACAATGTATGCACCTGAAATTGGCTTGGGGGTTTGGGGAGAATCCCAGAACAGTGCACTGGGCACAGAAATGCTTGTGCTCACAAAGCTTGGTACTAGGTTAAATTCCTCCCATACTCTAAGCCTGTAAATATCTTGAGTTAATGACCTCCATCCTTGGCTCACAAGACCACCTCTAGAATTTTGTTTTATTTACTCCCTTTCATTTCCCTTCTGTTCACTGGCCAAGATCACCTTTGAACTTCTGCCTGAACAATAGGAGTTAAGTGCACCTGTGGATCTTGGCTGATGCTTCTGAGACACTTCCTTTCTACCAACTAGGTTCTGCTGGAACAATTCCCTATCTCTGTCCCTTCCCACATGTGCAAGGTATTCTGACAGAATTTTGTCCTCTCTAAACTATGACTAGAGAACTGGAATTCAGATATATACCTATGCAACTAACAGACCCAAAGCTATTACTGGCTCTATCATTTATTATCTGAGCAGCTGAAGTCGTCCTTAACATTACAAGGTGATTTGCTACACAATTGTGAAAGCAGCATAAAGGCATACTTATGATCACATTAAAGCTAGAGAACCACCCAGTTATTCACTAACAACTCAAACTTAGGAATGCATTACTAATGAGTCATTAGGATGGGATATACCATTACTCTAATTAAGCCCACCCAAGTAATTCACTACAATTGTTTTTGAATCTTGAGAATCCTAGCTTACAACCAAAATAAGAAAGTAGGGTCTAGCTCCTACTGTATCAGAGATGTGTGAATATGTGATTGGAATTTTCTGATGTAGTTTCACTTCCATCTGTGTTGCCCATTCCTTTTCAGACAGATGGCTAGGACAATTTTAGGATGAAGTTGTCAGTGTGCAGTTTTAGTGAAAGAAGCAAATGTTCATCCTTGCAAAAGATAAATGAAACATGACCACATTTTATAAGAGAAAATGCCCACACATTTCAAACCTAATGTAACACATATTTTTAAATTCCATACAAATTTTAAAAAGAAAAGTGTCTTCCTTCCTACCAAATTCGCTTTTATTACAAGAAAAGTAAGATAAATAATAGCTTCAACGCCTTCCCAGTTGCTGAAAAAACACAAGCAACAAATTGACAGAACAGAGACTATCAAAACAAAGGTATAATCTGAAATACCAACCTTCAGCGCAGGGCACAACTATCAGAGCTCTGTCAATAAAAACCGTGTTTGTTAGATGCTGGGCCACACCAACACTTGAAGATTCCCGAAACTTAATATAACATACTTTGGAGGAAAAAGCAAGTGGTGCGTTGCTGCAAGAAAAAGAAAACCAATTAGATGCTGTAGTTTTGGTCTATTTTTGCTAGTCTTATGCAACTATAAATATTAATGCAAATTTAATTCTAAAAATTACAGACCTACAGAACATGAAAACTGAAATAGGTTTTCCACATAGTATCAGATTACTTTAGGCTGGTACAAATATAACTCTAACTTATCCATTAACTACAGTTAAGGGATCAGGATGTAAAACTGCACTATATCCACCTACAGGTTCTCTAGTTCATGTGAACATGTTTCATCAATGCATACACAAACCCTTTACCATGGTTAGGAATGAACACTGAGCAGCCTTAATCATGGTCAAAAAAAAACCTGAATTCAGCTTTTAGAATCTGAATTACTATACCTAGCTTCTTAATCACAATTAACAATCATGATCATGTTGCATCTGCATTGGTGTTTACTTTTTAATACAGAATATAAATAAAACTCTTCTCCTAAAAATAATTCAAATACTAGCAAAGAAACATTCAGTAATTAAAATATAATTTAATTATAATAAATATTATATTATTCAGTAATTAAAATATTTTAACAGCATTCTGTAAATGACCGATGCTACAGTTAAATGAAATATAATTGTACATTAGGCAAACTTCTGCATGTGCTTTAAGATCTTCAGTTAAGATTTTTAAGAAATGGTGGAACACTTTTACAGCTGGTATCCTTCTGGAAATACGGCCAATTCCTTTAAGAAGAAGTCTCTACCACCCATTTGATGCTGAATCTGCACACTCATTTTTAATCACCCTGGCATAAACTCTACAAAGTATCATGGGAACATTTTAATATTTCAGTATTTGTCAAATGCAGCCACTTCATTCCGCACAAGTTGACACCTTGAACTCTTGGGGCAGTCGGCTCTCCCATGAGCTTAAATTAATAGAACCTAGGATTGTATAACATTGTCTGATTAAGACTGCGAAGACTAGATCTTAAGGAGTGTGTTTGAAGAGTGCAGGTGAACAGCATCAATTTATTTATGATTGTAAAATCCCAAGAAATCTGTGAAAAGCTAGAAAGGATCTCTCCAAAATAGGTAACAGGAAACAGAATGGCAGAAGAGATTCAATATCAGTAAGCAAGAAGTGGTGCACAATAAGACAAGTTCCTGGTTGCACATCAAAAACAATGGCTTCCCATTACTTCTAGGCTGTTTGTGTATTTTAAGCCATATTTTAATTAACTGTTTGTTTGTTGTTGTTGTTTCTATTACGTTTTATTGTAATTCATATTTGGTGTTAGCCGCCCTGAGCCCAGCCCTGGCTGGGGAGGGCGGGGTATGAATAAATTATTATTATTATTATTATTATTATTATTATTATTATTATTATTCCCAGCAAGCACAAGGTGGAAGCACTAATACCAATTAAAAGTTTATTCTGCTAACATCCCATTCATATTTACACATTTGAGTAGTCCCAAATCTCTCTGCCATTTACAAGTGCTTGAGGGAAAGGGGGGGGGGGAGGCAGAAAATATAAAATCACTTAGTAAAATAAACGAAACTTTCCCTCATGCCTTGTTAAGAAATATGGTCTACTGTGCATCCCTTACAATCCCTTCCTATGCGTACTTATTGGAACCTTATAATGTAAGGACCATTAATTTCAATGATATATGTTCCCAAGCTGCATGCAAAGGATTGCAGCTTTACACGGAAGCAAGCGCTGTTGATGTGAATAAGGCTTACTCCCGAGTAACTAGTCACTAGCCTAGCCTTGGATGCAGCGCAGTGCAAGGAACGAGATTCGGGGGGAAAGGAGAGCAGGATCCCCGAGGAGCCAGATTTCTCCTACATGGCGTCTTTGCTAAACGCAACGCCGATGAGAGCCTCGAGGAAGCACGAAAAGCGGCTGAGGCCTCTAGGGAGCCCGCATTTCGCTTCCGCAACCGCGGCCTTTCCCAGAACCATCACCCAGAGAAAGGGAGAGAAACGCTGAAGGGACTGCGGCTGAGGAGAAACTGGCAGGTTTTTTGGGGGGGGGGAACAGTCACTGGCCGCCATCTTAATTACGGGCAGCTTCTCCTTCTCCGTAGAACAGATGCTGCCCAATGACGCAACCACTATGAAGCGAGACGCTCGGCACCCGAAAGCAAGATGGCGGGCGCGGCATCCGGTCCGTTTCTCGCTCTCCCCTTGCCTCAAGGATTGTCATTCCCGCCATTCTCTATGGCCCCGAGGGCCCTGCTCGGGCCTCAACTTACTCCGGAGGGTAGAGACGCAACTCCTCGATGTCACCTAAGAAACCGAAGAGCGTTCGCATCTGCTCGCTAGTGACCGCCGATGATAAATTGGTGACTTGGATAACCGAAGTAGGGGTCAAAGGGAAGCCGAGAGGCACCCCGATGCCGCCGCTGTTCATCATGATGGCGGCAAGTTTGCTGTCTCGGCCGAACTAACGCACAGAAGCGAGGAGACGGAAGTCACTACCGAGAAAGAAACGGCGGAACTTCCTAGAGCGTCTGCACTCGCGCAACTTCCGAGAGAACGCGGCTGCGCCCTGGCGTTGAGGCGGCCCCTTGTTCGTCTCCTCTATGCGGCTTTTAGCTAGGAAACGGAGGGCTTTTTTGTGATTGTTGAGGCAGTGCAGCACCTGAGAGACGGGCAGGGGGTGGACGGACAAAAAATGTCGAAGCATATGGAATAAACAATCCCTAAATTGCACTATACGCAGTGCCTCCTGCCCTTTCCCTCTCCAGTATCCACATGCACCGCAGTTGACGCATTAGAAGCCTCAAGTAGCAGAATAGATTTCCCTGTTAGGTGGGGTGAATTTTTTGCATATCCCACCCCCCACCCCCGTATTAAAAATCAAAAGAATTGTTTTTTACAAAAAAATGCCACAACAGGGAGAGGTTTCATAGATGGATGGAGAGAGAATGGATGAGAGATCAGGCTCTCCAAATTATGCTGGACTCAACATCCCTGACCATTTTCCATGCTGGATGGGGGCTGATGGGAACAGGCGTTCAACAACATCTGGAGGGCCACAGGTTTCTCGCTCCTGTCTAGATTTTGTGTTTTCAAAAATGGACAAACAGCCCTTACTACTGATTTGCTGCAGTAATCCCAGGTGCATCCTGGACCTTGCATCCACTTATACATAAACCAATTATGCCTGCATAACCCCTGCACTCCCAACTAAACACGGGGGGGGGGGGGGAGGAGTCGGAACTGAGGGCCAAATGCAGCCACCCAAGCTTTATCTGGCCATTGGCTGTCCCTCATCAGGCCTTACCCCCTACCGTCCTCAGCCATGCTCTGGAAAAGAGTCCTAAGGGCCTGATGAAGAAGAGTGGAGGACCACCTTTGGGCAGCCGCACAAAGGTTCCACACACCTGCCATTCAGGTGCCAGTTTTCATTTGCATGGTGTTGGGACTTGGTTGGCTGGTACTGATATCTGTCATATTAATTCATTTGCATTGCATTGGCTGATTACTGTAAAGAGAAGTTCTCCAGCTTGCAATTTATTTATTCTAATACCAATTTACCGAGTTGTTAGGAACATTTTTTCCGAGGGTTGCATATGAAGAAATGAAGGAATGGTTTGTCATCACTATAGATGATCATAGATGGAATCTAGATGGCATGACACTCCCCAGAACCTTTGACAGCCACAGTAACCTATTACCACCAAGAGTTTGAGAACTGCATTGAATTGTTTGGCATATATAATTTACCTAGCATGAATGACAGCTGGAATAGCTCTGTCAGTACAGCATGATACTCTTTAATGTCAGGGTCGGGAGTTCAAGCCCTACATTGGGCAAATATTCCTGCATTGCAGGGGATTGGAACAGATGACCCTTGTGATCCCTTCCGACTCCACAATTCTATGATTCTATGAATGCTACCATATGCATCTGGCATTGAATTCAGGGATAAGGACATAAGACCCGCCCTGCCAAATCAGACCAAAGGCCTGTTCGAGTTAAGCATGCTCTTCGCATAGTGGTTAACTAGGTTATTTATTTCAGTATGGAATAACTTCCTATGAAGCATTTCAAAGCAATTTCATTGTACAAAAAGGCTTACGCAAAACAATCACAAATGTAAAAACATTTAAAGCAAATGCATACATTAAAACAATTAAAAGCAGTTACACACATAAAAACAAATTCAAATCCAATATGGATACCAACTGGGTTATTAGCGTTAAAAGGCGTGTTGAAAGGAGAAACTATTCAACAGGTACATAAAAGACAACTGAGATTTATGTCTGTCTGATATGTAATGGGGGAGGGGGAATTCCAAAGGGCAGAAGCCTACACACAAAATGCTTGATTCCGACACTACACAAGAACAGGGCTCCTTGTTATATGCTATATTCAGGATGCCCTCTCCTGCAGAACTCAATGATTAGTCGGGCATATAAAGGTACACCCACAAGCAGAACATGAGTGCACTAGCAAGAAGTATTTCTCCCTGGCAGCAATTAATAATCAGAGGCATGCTTCCTCTGATGTTGGAGATAACATATAGTCATCATAACTTATAATCATGGATACTTATCCTCTGTATGTCTAACTCATTTTAAATCTATCTTTAGCAGCCATCAAACATTGTTTAAGCACATTCCATATTTAGCCATCCACTGTGTCCAGAAGTCTTTCTAAATTTCAACATTCAGCTCCTTTTATTTATCACAAGGCCTATAACAACAACAAAAAATTATTTATATGCCCCCCCCCATCTGACTGGGTTGCCCCAGCCACTCTGGGCGGCTTCCAGCAAATTATAAAACCACCATAAAATGTCACACATTAAAAACTTCCCTATACTGGGCTGCTTTTAGATGTCTTATTTAAAAAGTCAGATA